AACAGGGAGCCCGATGCGGGGCTCGATCCCAGGACCCTGAGATCATGACCTGAGCCGAAGGCAGACGCTTAACCGTCTGAGCCACCCAGGCGCCCGGGAAATTCCTTTTAAAATGAAGCTATTTTTTATCCTATTTCATAGAATAGGCAAAGAATGATAAACGTAGAACCCAGAACACAAGTAGTGGCAAAGATGTAGAGAAATTTGGGCAGGGTGGAACTGGTGTGGTCCTTAGACTGGGGCAGTCCACGGTCTTTTGCTCTTGACTTTGGGTGGGGACACAGGGAGGAGGTCTACGGAAGCATTTCTATTGTTCTTTTTTTTGTTGACCTGACTGCAAGGCCACCTTCTAGAGAAGGGCATGGAGAGAGACATAACTGATCAGGTTAATTGAGAGAAGGAGCAGGAATTCCTATTAGGAACATGGAGTTGGCCAGCTGCCCCCACCCAATGAGACCCTGAGGGAAATGTACACACAGTGGGCAGTGACATGTGAAGGAATACCATATTCCTTGTTGGTTTTTAGCCTCACACTCCAGTAGTTTCTCCCTTGCTACCTCCCTTCTCTGCCTAGTGAAGACAAAGAGAGAGGTGATCAGGTCTTTGCTGAGGAACAAGCAGCCTCAGAAAAGCCAGGGCAGGGGCGCCTGGGTGGCTCAGTTGGTTAAGCGACTGCCTTCGGCTCAGGTCATGATCCTGGAGTCCTGGGATCGAGTCCCGCATCGGGCTCCCTGCTTGGCGGGGAGTCTGCTTCTCCCTCTGACCCTCCTCCCTCTCATGCTCTCTGTCTCTCATTCTCTCTCTCTCAAATAAATAAATAAAATCTTTAAAAAAAAAAAGAAAGAAAAGCCAGGGCATCCGAGACCGGTGCCTGGTCCTTTTCCCAACAGGGAACAGGCACTAGGTCAAACCTTACTTCAGGCTCTTATGGATGGAAGGCAGTGGCTTTCAAAAGATAGAATCCCTTGAGAGGCATATTTAGCCTAATAAAATGTTCTCCCACCAGACCATTCCCTGCACCATGCCTTCTCTTTAGAGATAGAGTGAGGTGGGAAGGAAAGGCAGAAAAACGTTTAACTTCTTTCTAAGAACCAACATTCCCTTGTGTTTTTATTCTTCCATTAAGCTGATCCAGATGGTTAGCAGAGGTCTTCCTCCAGGCAGAGATCGCTGCCTTCCTGGGCACTGTTGCTGGCCTCCTACGACCAATAAAGGGGTCAGTTCACCCCTCATAGACTATATGATCCCTCTTTGATGTTGTCCTCCAGAAACTTCTATGACAGGACATAATATGTCTGATATTAGATGTGAGAATCAAGCTAGAAGCTAGACTGAATTTAGTTTTTCTTTGTTCCCACTTCAGCTTCATTGTCTTACACATTTGCTTGGTGGTGGTATTCACTTACCACCAGTTGGCCCAGACCATGCTTCCCAACTCTGTCAGCTCAACATCTATCTATATTATTTTTTTTAAGATTTTATTTATTTATTTTATTTGGGGGAGAGAGAGAGCACGTGCAAATGGGGGGAGAGACATAGGGAGAGGGAGAGAATCTCAAGCATACTTCATGCTGAGCACAGAGCCTGATGTGGGGCTCAATCCCACGACCCTTAGATCATGACCTGAGCCAAAACCAAGAGTCAGATGCCTAATCAACTGAGCCACCCAGGCACCGCTATCTATATTATAAATGTACCTTTATTCTGAATTGAGAAGCCTAGATATTATAACCCACGACCATTAAAAAAAAAAGTGTCTTAACTGTAATGTAAAGAAGTTAAAGGAAGATGACTTATGAAAGAATATGTGTACTTCAAATTGTCAATCTTTGGGCATGTAGGCACTAGAAGAATATGTATATTTCGGTTTGCTAACACTTGAGCGTTAGTAGTACATACACTAGAGCGCTTCTTTATATTTGACATTTTGAAACAAAGGCTAAAAATACGTATGTAGGATCCCCATGAGTGGGACAGTCTTGTGGAGAGTCCAGGATCTGTGAAGTTATGTCTCATTTGGGAGCAAACCCCCTTGGTGATGTTAATTGTTGCACTATGTTTTCTATATTGAGGGGGCTGGAGGAGAGAAGGAAATCTAGGGAGTGTGCGAGAGCAGGAGGCTTTGCTGTTGCAGAGCTGGGCTCAGCCAGTGTTTCCAAAGTGGGATGTATGTGGTGAATCACTGAGGTGCCAGAAGGAAATTGTATTTGTCATATCTTTATTATCCTTGAAAATTTCCCTTTTTGGGAGGATGTTTTATAATTATATAAATATACATACTTTATATACCTATCAGAGTGCGTGTTCACATTTTCTTACAGGGTGCTTGAGAAAAAGTTGAGAGACTATTGGTTTAGACCACTCACCCCAGGTTTTCTCAGGCTGGGTCAACAAGATCAGTGCTAGATTTTTCTTCCCTCCCCAGCTTTGGGAAAGCAAGAGAGAGGCTCCCAGGAGATAAGCAGATAACATGCATTTCTCACTATGGCTTGATCAGTCAATGACTGGAACAGAATTCCTCCCGGGGGTGGTATGCAATGCAATGCCTTCATCCTGATGTCCATGGCTGGCAGTGAGGGGAGGGTATGGCCTGGAGCAATCATTTTCAACCAGGGCTGGTTCTGTCTCCTAGGCTGAGACCGGCACTGCTGCTCAATGACCTGTGAGCTTCCTTTAGCTAATGGTTTCCACTTTTGGTTTCTTTCCAGATAGTGTGGAAAATGTCAATTCAGTTTGAGTATTTTGGAACTTTATGCTTAAAGACAAGCTTGGAAATCCTATGTAGAGAGTAATTTTATATTATCTTATATACATTTATACTTAAGTGCCTTACAGAGTTGTTTATTTTTCAGGTAGTTAAGGTCTTATGCATAGTACTTTGGACAAAAGTCTTTCGGGTGTATTCATAGATTGTTTCTTTCCTTTGTGTAGTTTGAAGTCCTGAAGAAATACCTTGACGGTGGCGGTGATATCCTTGTGATGCTAGGAGAGGGTGGGGAATCCAGATTTGACACCAATATTAACTTTCTTCTAGAAGAATATGGAATCATGGTTAATAATGGTAATTTATTATTATTGTTATTTTAGTAGAGGCTGTTTTTTCCTATTTATTATTCATATTGTAGCCCTCTGGACCTAATAATACAATGGAAAGAGCCCTGGGCTGAGGGTGCATGGTCCTGAGGCTTCTGGGGCTAGGCTTCTTCCATGTATAAAATGGGAGGAATTGGAACAGAGTTCTAGGGTTCCTTACAGGTCAAAGTTTATATGTGTCTATAATATCAAACCTATTTCTAATCTAAGATGCAACTTCCTCTCTTTTCCCCTTAAAGATGCTGTGGTTAGAAATGTATATTATAAGTATTTCCATCCTAAGGAAGCTCTAGTTTCCAACGGAGTCCTGAATAGGTAAGCGTGTTGAAAACAGAAATGTTTTTACAAATGATTCCTATCTGCTCTTGTCTCTTCTCACACATTCTTTTCATTGGCCTTTCTTCCTTTCTTGCTTTTTTGTTTTATTTTACTATATTATAATTTATTTTATTATATTACTTCTCATTCCTCAAATTATATTCCTCCCATCTTTTGAAACCTTATTCCACATTCACCTTTTTGTCAGAATGCGTTCAGCTGCAAGCATAGAAAACCCTAGCCTCTCAATGGGATGAAACAATAAAGAGATTTTATTGATTCATGTAATTGAAAACCCCAGAAATAGGGCAGGCTTTGGGTGTGGATTAACTGAAAATTCATGATGTTGTCAGAGCTCCAGTTCCATTGCTCTATAGTTCTCTTGGCTCTGCTCTCCTGTGTGTATGGGCTGAATAGTTTTAGTAGTTCCCAGATTTATATCTACATGCCACACCGTCTAGGGCAAGTGAGCCTGCCTTGGTCTCAGCATTTCCAGCAAGAGTAGTCCCAAGATTTGCTGTTTGAGCTGGCCTAGGCCACATGCCCATCCTGAACTGGTCACTGTGGCAGAGGGCATAGAATGCCCTGATGGTGGTATAGCTAGGTGATATTCTCTACCCCTGGAGCCTGGGATGAAGTCAGTTTTTTCTGTTTCACTGGATCTTAAAGGATAAATTAGGGGCTTTGGAGAAGTGGGAAATGAATGCATGAGAGAAGCAACATCAGGTGCCCTCTCTGTGGGCTTTTCCCTATATTCAAAATTATTCATTCCTCGGGGCGCCTTGGTGGCTCAGTCGTTAAGCGTCTGCCTTCGGTTCGGGTCATGATCCCAGGGTCCTGGGATCCAGCCCCACATCGGGCTCCCTGCTCAGTGGGAGGCCTGCTTCTCCCTCTCCCTCTCCCCCTGCTTGTGTTCCCTCTCTTGCTGTGTCTCTCTCTGTCAAAATAAATAAATAAAAACTTTAAAAAAAAGTTACTCATTCCACACTTGAATTTGCTATATGCCAGGCACTCTGCTGGGTCTGATGATAAGGAGTCGAGAATATAGGACTAGAATGTGGGTCTAGTCTAGAATGTGGTCTAGAATTTTGATCCTTCCCTCAGGACTCAAGAAAGAAGAACTGATCCTCATATTTATTTATTTATTTATTTATTTTTAAAGATTTTATTTATTTGACAGAGAGAGACCCAGCGAGAGAGGGAAAACAAGCAGGGGGAGTGGGAGAGGGAGAAGCAGGCTTCGTGCGGAGCAGGGAGCCCAATGAGGGACTAGATCCCAGAACCCTGGGACCATGACCCGAGCCAAAGGCAGACGCTTAATGACTGAGCCACCCAGGCACCCCTGATCCTCATATTTAAATGTTAACTTTCGCAAGCTACCCAAAGAGGTGTAGGTGTGTAGGTGTACCTTTATTTAAGTTTTAAGAATTATATTTTGAATAAGTCTGCAAAATCCTTGCAGTTAGTTCATACTTACTATTAATGAATGGTGTGTGAAATTCCTAAATTTTTTTTGTTTACTAGATTTAATTTTTTTTCTTCAAGGGAAATTAGCCGAGCTGCAGGGAAGGCCGTGCCTGGAATCATTGATGAGGAAAGCAGTGGAAACAATGCCCAGTGAGTGTGTTTTCTGAGGCTACCTAAAGAGGGTGCATTTGTCATTTTGAAGAGTTTCCTTTTTCAAAGTGAGGAGTTATCATTTCTGATTATAAAAGTCATTCTCACCAAAAAAAATTTGAGCGGTTCAAAAGGAAGAAAATAGAAGTCCTCCACTATAAATGTATGCCCTTTTCCCCAAAGATAATTATTCTTAACAATATGGTATTTAGATTTCTAGATTTTTTTCATATATAAAAATATAGATAGGCACCATATCCTTTTAAATGACTAGATTAAATTGGAATTATCCCAGTTTACGTAACCAATCTCCTATTGTTGAACATTGAGGTCATTTATGATACTTTGTTTTAATAGTTAAATCTAACATTTATTGAGCACTTACTATATGACAGGCATTTGTGTGTGTCTGTGTGAGAGAGAGAGAGAGAGAGAGGCATTTTTACCTATTTAATCATCACAGCAACACACTAAGGTTATAGATGAGATAACAGAGAGGTTAATTGCCCAAGGTCACATGACTAATAAGTTTCAGAACTTGGTTTCAAACCTAGGCAGTCTGTTCCAGGGCCTATACTCTTTTTTTTTTAAAGATTTTATTTATTTATTTGACAGAGAGAGAGATAGCGAGAGCAGGAACACAAGCAGCGGGAGTGGGAGAGGGAGAAGCAGGCTTCCTGCCAAGCAGAAAGCCCGATGCAGGGCTCGATCCCAGGACCCTGGGATCATGACCTGAGCCGAAGGCAGATGCTTAACGACTGAGCCCCCCAGGCGCCCCCCAGGGCCAATACTCTTAACTTCTGCTCCATGTTGTTATTATAAACAATTTTATACTTGTTACTATAAATAAAGCACGTAGTGAATGTCTTTGTACATGCAATTTTTGTGCATTTATGCTAATATTTTAGCAAGGCTAGATTCTTAGCATTAGAATCTCTGGGTCAAAAGTTTTCCAGTTGGGCGCCTGGGTGGCTCAGTTGGTTAAGCGTCTGCCTTCGGCTCAGG